TCTACTGGCCTGGGGTTTATTGATGACGTTAGACTGGCTGGCCAGCAGGCTCTAAGAATTCACCACTGTCTATCTCCCTAGGGCTAGTATTATAGTATAGGCTACTACTACTTGCTTTTCTATGTAGATGCTGGGGATTGAACTAAGGTTGTCATGCTTGCCAAGCAGACACGTTACTGACTGAATTATCTCCCCAGCCCTTACATAATCTGTTTCCATAGATATTTATCATTTTTAAATGGTGACAATATGGCAGATCCCCTTTCCTGGTTGTTTGAGATACACAGTAAATAATAGTTACCTAAAGTCATCCTCTGTATAATGCCACATTGAAATCCTAACTTCTGTACCCCGTGGCTTAGCTCCCATTCAGTAACCTCTCTCTTCTCTCTACCCCACATGCTTGCTTCCTCCTCCTCCACAGCCTCTGGAACCACCATTCTCCACTGCCGTGGGGCCTTCATTTCACATATGGATGAGATCCTGTGGTGCTTGTCATTCTGTAGCTAGCGTAGTTCCCTCGCAGTAGTAATTTTGGTTCTATCCTTGTTTAATGTGATACAGTTTCACCTTCTCTGGCTTATTGGTCTTCTTTTATGTGTTTGTATCATTGACAGACATTAAGGTTGCTTCCATTTTTGGCTATCAAAAATATCACTGCAGGAAATATTCAAGTGTAGATGTTTCTTCCACACAGTTATATACTTATGTATGCATTGCTAGACCATGTGGGACATCTTCTTCTGACTTTCTGAGGAGCCTTTATTATTTTCCACAATAGCTGTATTAATTTGTCTATTGTGTACAGTGCTCCATTTTTTCCTAATTCTTAGCAGCACTTTAGTCTTTTTTTTTTCTTTTTGATTTTTCGAAATAGTTTCTCTGTAACCTTGGCTTTCCTGGAACTTATTTTGTAGAACAGGCAATTTTCAAACTCAGAGATACCCCTTCCTCTGCCTCCCAAGAGCTAGGATTAAAGGAGTGCATCACAGACACCTGGCTAGTCTATTTTTGTAATATCCATTCTTATAGGAGTGAGGTGGTAAGTTCCTGTGGCTTTGATTTACATTTCTTCGATGATTAGTTATGTTGAGTATTTGCAAAAGACTGCCCAGCAACACCAAGATCAGTTTTTGGTTGAACAGCAGTCTATTCACCTGACATATCAGACAGCCCAACCTAGTTGACAAGACCGTCGGAGAAGCTGGAATCCACTGAGCATTAGAACGTTGGTTTAGATAGGTATTTAAAACCTGTAGATCACAATACCACATCCACCCTAGGACTGGTAGACATAGAATTGTGAAGAAGGGCTCAAAGAATCTTGGGTTGAAGATAGTTGATGCTTTCTATCTTAGAGTTTCTGGACTTTTCAGGAAGTTCTTGCAGTGTGCACTCGTGCCTTTGACCCCAGCAGGAGACAGAAGTCATAAAGAGGTGAGGGTGAGGATTTCTCAGTTGCCTCTCTAGAGAATGGGAATCATTTTCATCTGGATCTGCTCCAGTGCTTCAGTTGTGACCTGGCACATAGTAGTGTAGCCTTTTCTTCAGTAGGTATCTACTGAACACTGACAAGGCCACGTAAGGTCACTGTTCTAGACGGACCGATACTATCGTGAGGCACTCACTAGTCACTCTCATGGAGATGCTCTTCTAGGCTGAAGTGACATGCATGGCCAACGAGTAAGCAGATAATAAAATATCATACACACAAGCACACTATGTTGTTGCATCGAGGAGGACTGAGGAGGGAAAATGAATGAATGAGAGGGACACAGCTTCTGACGAGAAGAACCTCTAGGGCAGAACTCCTCCACAGCCATGCTGACCTGCTGATTGAAGAGGCATGTGCTTGTTAATATTTATTATTCTGACAGAATTGCGAATGTCTTTAGGTTAATGTAGAGTGTGCTGTGGTATTTATTTATTGGGTTGTCTGTTGGTTATTTGCTGTTGCTATGTTAAAATACCAAGACTAAAAACAAGTTAGGGAAGAAGGATTTTCCTTTGGCTCTTATAGTACCAAAGGGTATACAGGGCATCATGACTATGAAGGCATGGCAGCAGGCTCATCAGGCTGGCCTGCCGTTCAGGAAGCAGAACAGTCCCATTTCAGGCATACGCTGGAAGCAGGTAACAGGAAGTGGGGCTTGTCTGTAAAACCACAACTCCCTGTTTCAGTGATGTGCTTCTAGTGAGGTTCTATCTCCTCATCCATCACCTTCTCACACAGTGCTACCAGCCAGGCACCAAGAGTCCAAACCTACGAGCTTTTGGAGGATATTTTACATTCAAACCATAACAGGATGTAGGGACCAGCTAAAAACATAAAAGTGTCCAGCAGTATACTTTGTGGGTGTTAGCTTTGGTGTTTAATAAAACACATTTTGATTTTTTTTTCCTGAGTATTTTCAATGTGTGAGCCCTGTTCTAAACAGCACCCGTGGATCAACCCATGGAATGCTTCTGATGACTTGAGGGAGCTGACCCAGCTACCTTCCCCGGGGAGTTCCCAGCTAGGAAGTGAAGTGAGCTTCCATTCTTGGCAGATTGCTGCTGAGTGATTCACTGTGCCGTGGTGGTGGTGGGATCCAGGAAACAGGAACAGCTCCAGCCTTTCCCTTTGTTAATGCATTTTACAGGCAAGGTGAACAAGGTGTGACCTGGTTGATATTCCAGATAGGATGTAGTCTGGGAAGGAAGGCTGAACCTCTGTCATTCTCTCTGAAGTCAGTTGATGTTCTCCCAGGACCTGAAACTTTGTAATGATTGTAGTAATAGCTCTTCTGCCTACCTACCTATTTACCTACCTACCTACCTACCTACCTACCTACCTACCTACCTCTCCCTCTCTTTTATGCATAAAAAATGCATAAAAACCATGCATTAGGCAGAAGAGGAGAATTTGCTGTTGATCCAGGGGTGTGGGCAGAGCAATGGCTGCCATTCTAAGAACAGCCGAAATTGCTTTTATTTTAAACAGTCCCAGGTTAGGCCAGGCTCTCCTGCTTCTTTCATGCAATCAGGCAAGGAAGAAGAATCAGATCAGAATAGCTAGTTAGATACTTGAAACCAGCTCTGTGTATTGGTAGCTTTAATACTTTGGCTTTAAGCAAGTGAACAGACCAATCTCTGGCTCTATCTTCATAGAAGTCATGCTCTGATTCCAGAAAGCTAGGAATGTATTACCATGTAGATGGATATAGGGGAGCCTAGGGGCAGATTCTCTTTTCTTCCAGTCCAGCTCCTACTAGAACCCCAATAGTTAGGGAAACAGTGGGAGCCGCAGGGCTTTCCTTCACTTCATCCTCTCTTCTTTGTTTTCATACCAGCTGGCTGGCGGTTGGGCTGCCCCAGTAGGGAAACAGGATCAACAAGTAGAGCAAAGCCTCTGCTGTCAGGTCACCGAGGTCAGACTCCTTCCGGTCTCCTCTGATGTTGGGTCAAGATGAGCTCTGGTTTCTATCTTGAAAGTGTGCATAGAGTTGCTGCTGTGGTTAGATAAACATGAAAAACTAAGATCTTCAACCCTATGCACAATAAGAATAAAATAGCTCCCTGCTCCAGTTTTCTGTGAGAAGATATCTCCAGACTTTTCTGGCTTCTTTCAATCCCAAATTGGAAGGTTCAGATATTCTTTGGAAGGTGGCCTGCTCCCAGTCTTGCCTGATCTGAGGGACTACTTCATGAGGCTGCCTGTTCTTCAGAATCCCTAGTTAATAAGAATTTCAGTTCTCCATCTTCCAACTCTGATTCCTTGGTGTGTATTCCGAAGCTGGTCATGGGGGAGGGATGGTGGACGTTCAGCTTCCCCAGTACCTTCCAACTAGTATTCGCTGAAGTCCTTCATTCTCATAGACTGTAGATTGATTAAGCTTGAAATGACCTGTTTACAACATTACTTTTCCCAGCCAGCCTACTCTGTGGTCATTGGGCCCCAACTTATCCATCTGGTAATAAAGAGATGGCCCCCTCCAGAGTGACTTGGTGTTCCTGGGACATTATAGCTAGGGATGGAAGGCCCTTGTTCTTTTCATTGAGGATGGACTTTAAGCTTGCCTGGGCATGGTACGAGGTATCCAGAAGTACTTTTCTTTGGGAGGGAGTGTGCAATCCAGTCCCTGACTGTTAGGTTTTTTGTAGACAATTTATTATCTGCAACTACTGAGAACTGGACAAGCAAACAGTGATGGATAGGCCTTTGGCACAGCAGTGAGGAATTTCCCACCAGCTCTGTGCACCTGATGTGCTGTTTCAAAGGATGTGGAAAGGGAGCCCAATGGTCTCAGAGCTCCTTGGGGCTACAGCCTGGGTGAGTGCTCTGATTGCCAACTCCTGCAGGCTGAGCATGGTGCACACTCTCATGGAAAGAACCGGAATAGACAGTGAAGCTCAATCTTTAGTGCTAAGGATGCCAAGGAAGACTCCATGCTCACAGACTGATCTGAAATCTGCTCTTCTTGCTGCTTGTTCCTTGTTTGAAGGGATCATGCATAAGAAATCAGCCAATGCCAAGGAACCCTTTTAAAAAAAAATCAGCTTTGTTGAGATATGCTTTGCATAGCAAAATTTAACTATTTCATTTACTTCAATTTGATTCTTTTTAGTTTGGAAGGGGGTTATACAACTATTGCTACACTTATTTTTTTTTGAAAAACTTTGATGTAGCAATGAATGCTCCTGTGGATGTCAGTATACAAGCTTTTTGTGCCTTTTTTTGTGTACATGTTTTTACTTCTATCAGGTGTAGAATTTCTAGGCCATGTTTTTCGAATACAATTGTACAGTTATTATTTTGCTTGGTTACTTTGAAGTCTCATATTCCTATTATTTGAGTTAAGCTTCTTGGTACAAATAATTGAAAATTACACAAATGAAAACAGAGGGAATCATCAGGATGCCTGCCACATAGAATCCAGGTTGAGATACATTTGCTTTTGTCCTCTTTATCAAACTTCTACTCAAAGATTCACTAAAGCTCTTCTTGTCATCTTTTGCAGAATCGCAATGAAATAAAGAACGGATCTATCCTTCGATTAACCACATCTCCGGTAAGTTGATCTTAGTTTACTGCCTCTCATTGAGTGTCCCAACTAGGTCTGCTGTGTGTGAGGGTGGATGCAGAGCAGTGTGAGCGACCTCTGCAGAGTCCAGAGCGCAGCATCCTCCCAGACCGGTTGGTTCTAGATTCACAGGAGCACTCTGCCAGGCAGGGGACTTTGTCTCAGGGTACTGTCAAGGAAATGGATGGTGAAGACTTGAAATTTGTGGTAATCCCAATCCAACAGCAGCTCTCGTCGTACAGATGGGGCACTGGCTGCCTTGAGTGATTTGGCCCACTTGTCCACACATCACCTGATGCCATGGAACAGAAAAAAATGCAAACCAAGCCAAAGAAACAAAAACCCCAATAGCCTACTACTGCTTTTCAAGTCTCTCTCTGTGGGGTGTGTGTGTGTGTGTGTGTGTGTGTGTGTGTGTGTGTGTGGTGGGTGGGTATTATTTTCTACCCTAGGTCTGTTATTAAATATTTCCTAAAAATCAGCTCAAGAGCATTGCTTGCTTATGCTGTTTTCTTTTCAGCTGATTCTCTGTAAAAACTTTGAAGGTTTCCGAATAAAAACTGCTAAACAGGATGCCGCAATGTATTTAGGCTCTGGCTGGGATTGTGATCGTCCTTTTATAGAGAGATGCCGCATAACGACAAGCAGATTTCCCGTCCGTTCCTTCACAGTGCGATTCCTTGCTTTCCTGAAAGCCAGCACACACAAAGGGCTGCAAGTGGTACTCTTTTCACACTGCGAGCGTGATGAAATGAGTGTATATCTATCATCTTCAGTCCCCACTGAAGCCATGTGCTAGGCTAAAAATAAATTTAAAAATTGAGAAAAGCATCTGGCTCGAATTAAAGTGTGGGTACTGTAGCCACCACAAATTCTCATTGAAAATTGCATTAGAGCCTTAAAAACTCAAACTCTTTATCCCGTAGCATCTTGAAGCTAACGCAGGATGAGCTCTGCGGCCATCGTCCAGTGCCTGCATGCCAGTGCATAGAATGTACAGTTTGCCTGTGGCTTTGAGTGGCTGCAAGAAGAGCTGACAGATTGTCACCAGCCTTTCAGTGGCCGTCTTCATTCATTAGGTCAAGGTTTTTTGTGCTTCCCCCTTTCTCTGCTAATTCGCATCTATAGAGAGGCTCCTTGTTTTATCTAGGCTGATTCTATGTCAAGGAAGGACTCTGTGCTTTGCCCTGGGTTCTTGAATAAAATCCATATGTACTGGTGACATGAAAGGGGAAGCAAAACTGTCTGGGAACAGAGAGGACTACTGAGAGAGGGGGATAGTTGTAGGGTGCGGTGAGGAATAGTCTCAGAGTACATTATATATTTCCCTGAAGATAATCCCATGTCATAAAAAAATAAAAGAAGGCTCAGTATGGGGGGTGAGTTCCTTTTTCTGGAAAGAGAGTGATTTAGGCTTTCATTAGAGACAGTGGGTGTGTGTTTGTAAAACAATGGTTCTCATACTCCGGGTTCTGTGAGTGGAAAGGTGGGTGAGGCAGTCCAAAGGGCACTCATAAGAGACCACTTTGTGTTTTCTGCATCAGTAGCATCTACACTAGGATCAGCAGTGGGACTTTAGAGATGCTGAGGCCCAGTCTGGCTAGTAAGACTGGGCCATAATAAAGGAGAATGCGACCCAGGCACCTCTACTTAAAGAAGCCTCTTGTGCTGGGGCTGAAGCCACAGGACTATAACTAGGTGTTACTACACAGCAGTTTATATGGGCACTGGAAACTTCATTCATTGCTGAATTCTGTGTGTGTGTTTGTGTGTGTGTGTGTCTGGTGTGTAAATGAAAATGGATGAGGCAGGCTATCTCACTTTAAACGAATTTATTTGTTTATGTTTTTTGAGATAGGGTCTTGGCTGTCCTGGAACTCCTTATGTGGCTTGATTGGCCTTGAACTCACAGACTTCTTTGGCTTCTGCCTTCCAAGTGATAGGATCAAAGGCATGTGCCACCATGCCTGGACTGTAAAGAAGTGTCTTTGATGAATTTGTTAGGAAGTATTACTGTGCAGTGATGCAGCCAGTAGATGTTTTTACACAATTACATCGTTTCTTTTCTACCGTGGTTCCCCTCTCCTTGAAGATCGATAACAACGTACACAAGTGTATGTAAAGCTACATACAGACATGTATGCAGGATTGTAATCATACATAAACACATGCACATGTGTGCACTCACACACTAGTTTGAGGTGAGGTGTAGAGTGTGTGTTCATATCTGTGAGCTCCAGAGTGGGCTGTGGAGCTCACTGGCAGCTGAGTTGTGCCTCTGTCCACCTCCTCTGCTCATAGCCAAAAACTGAGCCTGAACATTTTGGCTATGTTCCTATTAGAAGAAGTTTAGATTGCCAGGCTATCATTTTCATTTTCATGAAATTTATTTTTTAAAAAACAAATTTCATAATCAGCTGGGCATTGGGAGACGGAAGCAGGCAAATTTCTCTGAGTATGAGTCCAGCCTGGTCTACACAGTAAGTTCCAGGTCATCCAGGCTCACCTTACATAGAAGGAGACTTTGTTTCAGAAAAACTACCCCTGAAATTCTCATAATGAATATCTGTGCATTCTTGGAGTGGGTAGATACTATGAAGTAGTATAAACTCCAGAAGTCATGAAAAGAGGTTGTTACATTTAATTATCCCAACATAAAATCTTCAAAGTCTTTGTGTTTGGAAATAACTCTAAGCACAGTGTAAAGAATGGTGCGCCAAAAAAAGCAGGTGGTAGTCAACCTGACCTAGGGATGGTTTTTTGTTTGATTTTTTTGTTTTTCAAGACAAGGTTTCTTGGTGTAGCCTTGACTGTTCTGGAACTTGCGCTGTACATCAGGCTGGCCTCGAACTCACAGAGATCTGCTTGCCTCTGCCTCCTCAGTGCTGGGATTAAAGGCAGGCGCCACCATCACCCAGCATCCTTGAGCTGATTTCTTAATTCACAGGATCCTTTCTGACTGATAGAGACTGTTTTAATATGTGTGGTCATAGGTATAGCAGAAGCAAAGAAGGGAGCATTATATATCCATATGTATATGTAGACATCATCTTATGCACAGAGATCTCAGTCTCTTTTTCAAAAGGGATGGAGTTATGTTCTTAGTGCAAGGAGAGGATGCTGTGAATCAAAATATGAACTGTTGTGGCCTTGGCAGGGAGCCTAGTATGTTATATACATTAACTTTTATCTTAATTCTCTAGTTAGAAATTTACCTGGTAACTACAGGGTAGATACACCACATATGTGCATCTAGGCTGTATACAGCATTTATTCTAGTGACCAAAACTTGGGACCCAGTTATCATTTAGGTAAGAATTTGGTATTTAGCACCCTGGAGGCATCGCCAAAGAACATCACCATGTGCAAATTTGATGGCAGAACAATGTATGTACAACAAATGACTATTCTGTTTATAGAAATGAAAAAAAACCATAAATTCTGATAAAAGGATGAAAATGCCCCTCAGAGGATACCACAGGAAGTGCTTAGTGGTACACTATTTATCGTACAATCTCTTGGAGTACCTCCGCATTTCTTCGAGTCTCGTGTGCTGGTGTTACTTTTCTCTGAAGGGCAATGTGAACCCTTTGAAGAGTGCAGAAAGTATATGCATCACATCTGCGGCTAGAAACACCTCTGTTTTCCAGTCCATGCACCTGTGCCCCGAGCCATTAGCTGTATGGACGAGCTCCTCTTCTCCTGGCTTTCCCTTCTTCTCCTTCCTTGTACACAGAGAAACCCAGACTACTTATTAAGAACCCGTTACTGGCTTGTCATCTCCAAGGATAAGCCTCCCTGCTGTCCTCTGAATATTCTGGGTCCACTGTGAGAATCGTCTAGATCAGAAGGCCTGCCACAGAGGATTTGGGGCCTACTTCCTGTGGTGATAAAAAAGATTTTGATATGTCGTTCATTCCATGGATTCAGGTTGTCAGGGATTCTTCTCAACATGTATTATTATATTATTAACAGATGATTTTAAAATCTGCACTGATTTGAAAAAGGAAGGGGTCTTTGAAGCCATGGCATGCCTGGAGGGAGATGATCCATGGGAGGCAGGAAGGCAGTTCCTTTCAGTAGGGCTCAGTACCTGGTGCTGCTTAAACTTCTGGAGTCGGATCTGGAGTGGTTTATTTTGGGCATACTTAAGCATAGCACATTTTGGTGAAAATATCTCTGTTGATAAGTAACTCCGCGCTTCCAATACAACAAAGCATGCATAAATCTCTTTGAGCAAGAAAAGATACTAAAAAAAGATCAGATGTGACTATGTTGAATCTCTTTGTCAAATACATATGGCATGTTCCATAAAGACGTTCTACAGGTTGGCTAAGAAGAACGAGTTTATGAAAAAAGTAAGTCACAGAGTAGGGGTGTGGGTTCCACTGCTGTCTCTGGCCACACGGATAGTGCAACAGTCACCAGACTGGATAACACATCCTTCCCTTGAATGAACATCCCTGTGTGCTTAACATTGCAGGGTTCCCTACTGCTTATCTGTGAGCACAAAGCCCTCAGAGCCTCCTATGGAAAAACCGACCAAGAATGACCAAGTATCTGTATTCTGTTTTTCTTCCATTACTTTAGAGACCCAACTTTGGAGAAGAAACCAGTGGAGAGAACAGATTGTAGGGTTAGCAAGGGATTGGTTAGGTGTTCCTGGCGTAGTTTACGTAGAGGTGCTCATGGCTTAGGTATCATAACGTGTGGGGTGCCTCTGGGAGGGAGAACCTTGTGAAAGGCCAAGCCCCACGGCTTCATGAAGTGGTGCTCTTTGCTGAAGGAGGCCTGTGTTTTGGCACACCGTGTGATGTACTGTTTCTGAGTAGACGGTTGTGGGTCGGGAGACAGAGCCTGTGAGAAGTCAACTCTGTACCGTATGCACTAGGCGGTGAGGTACATGTCCTGCTGCGTAGTCTGGACACAGAGCTGTACAGTCCCTTCTGTGTGTATACAGTTTGTAGAGCTGTGGAATAGGAGACAGC